AAAAAAAGCTATAGCAATACATAACTATAAAACAACACCCCACCAGCTGTACAACACTGAATTAATTATGTACATTGCATTGATGGAAAAAGAACAAATTTTTTGGATGAAAAATCAAAAGGGTCCTCACAGAAACAGCAAAGAAGCATACAAATCAATTGTAAATCAAGTAAAAAATAGAAAATCTCAAAGAACATAGCCCAAAAAATGCTATATCAATACACAAGTATAAAACAGCCCATCAGCTATACAACTCGCATTTAATCTAGTACATTGCCGATATGCAAATATCATAAATACAACAAAAGTAAAGAGTCAAAAGCTGAAAAGGGTCCTCACAGAAACACCAAAGAAGCAGATAATTCAACCGAAACTCAAGGAAAAATGGAAATTTTCAAAGCACACTTGCCCAAAAAAATGAAGCTACAGCAATACATAAGTATAAAACAACCCAGCAGCTATACAACTCACAGTTAATCTACTACATTTCCAATATGGCAAAATCATCGAAAACAAAAAAAAACGAAAACTTAAAAAGGGTCCTCACAGAAACAGCCGAAGTTGAATATTGAACATGGGAAAACCGATTAGTATCCAAAGAAGAAGAAAAGCCACTTTCTGAAGGAATTGATTCCCATTGTGTAGGTTGCACATACGGATCTTCCAACTTCAACTTCTCAAACAATGAAGCCAAATTGGTATCCACTGCCATTGAAATTAAAAACTAAAATCAAATCAATTTTGCCTCAGATTTCATTAGGGTTTTGTGGATTATGTTATTTGGGAATTTTTGAACTTTGTGGGTGTTTGATTCTACTACTATGCATTTTGGTATTTTGTATATATTTCCCTCCAATTTAAATAGTCGAGTGCACGATGTATCTCGTGTTTACGAAGTGTAAATTATATTATAGTGTAGATATACCTTAACGTAACAATTTATGATTTATTTGACGATTTATAAGTATGGTTTATAGATAAGATACGATTTTATTATTTCTCCAATAAGATATATATATAAGAATCGAAACAAAGCTAAGGAAAATTGATTTTTATATAAGTAAATGAGATCATTCCACGTTTATAAAGAGGTCGATATCAAATATTATTATTTTCTTTTGCGTGAATAAATGAATGTCATTTTTTCTTATAATGGTATATCTTCGATAAAAAAATTTAAGAGAATATTAAGAATCTAGTTTGATTTGAAAAATTAAAATATCACTTCGTATTATTTTCTTGAATGTCACTAACGATATAAATATCACCAATTAATATAATGTAATGCGTGAACTTACACGTTAATCGAATATTTCTATTCGAATTTTAAAATATAGAAACTTTTGAATTCTTTTATTTCTTTTTCTTACGTAATACAAATATGAATTAATTAAATAGCCATACTTTTTTAAGAACTCCAATTAGTATTGTCGATTAACTTGAAAATCTATGTAGAAATTTATTTTATGTTTCATTAAAATAAATTTTATTGTAATAATTTTCTTTTAGGATTACAATCTATTCTATTATATGTCATAAATACAACTAATTTATAACAAAGTGTTATAATTTATCTTATTTACGTGTGATCTCCGATTTAAATAATTAAATATTATCATGTCAATTATCACATAAATATAGTGAGTAATTTTTTTGTGTAAATGATAAATATAAGGTGACTTTAATGTTACGGAATTTTAATTTAAAAAAATAAGTTTGTGTGTGAAATAATAGAAATATAATGAATTTTTCTGTTGTAAAACAAAGAAAGTATTTTTCTTTCATAATTTTTATTAATTAAATGACCTTCTGGATGATCCAACTCTGATAATAAGGTGTTAATTGGGTCATTATTTGAGAAAACAACACATTTTTATTAGAGTATATTTTTTAAATAAATGGTATATAATTTGATATAACACCTAAATTTAAAATAATGATATAAATATTTAATACATTATTAATGAAAATATTACTTCAATTCATACGCAAATAAAGAAAGCAATTTTTTTTTATAGCCAAAGGGCAATAGGTTTAGGAAAATAAATAATAATTCACATTTCTTGGTGATTTCAAATTAATCGGATTTTTTCAAATCAAATATTAAGCGTCAGATATGAAACTAAATAAGAAGTTATAATTATTACTAAAAAGTAAATACTTCAAATAGGACTTTTCGATGCAAATAAAAATTAATCAAGATCAAAATAAATAGAGCAAATTTCACATATAGCAAACACAAAATTCATATTTGTATGTTATAACAAAGTTTGCATAATTACGCTCCATATCAAACATAAATATGTATAATTCGTTATACATATACAAAGAAACCAATTGTATGATTCGTTATACATATACAAAAGAAAAGCAATTGTATGATTCGTTATACATATACAAAAGAAAAGCAATTGTATGATTCGTTATACATATACAAAAGAAAGTCAGTTGTATACAAATCAATTGTATAATTTGTATATATATAAAACGAGAAAGAGAGAAAGTCAAAAGAAAATAGAGCAGAGGAACATTTGCATTATGTAATTATAAGTGTATATGACGAAAATATATGTATTTGCAAGTGTATATACAATATTCTCTCACTTTATACAAACAGAAACACAATTTATACATTTCATTTCTGTTTGTATAATCGATAGAGGCAAGGGTGACGAGTAAGATATGGGAGAGTGGAGAGCGAAATCTGGGAGATGGGAGAGAGGGAAACGAAAATATGTGTATATATACAATCTTTCTCGCTTTATACAAACAAAAATACATTTTATACATTTGTATTTATATAAAAAGTGAGATGGAGCGAGCGAGAGAGGAGAGTGGGGAGAGAGTTTGAGAAAAAGAGTTGTCTGACAAACAGTTTGGTAAGGATACAATTAAATTAAAGTGTGATTGTAACATTTAATTTAATTTATTAATTTGCCATTATTTACAATTTCTTAAACAAATATGAACTTCTCGACGCAAATTCATATTAATCAAACACTAGAACAAGTATCTGACACCAAATGTGTAACATAAGAAAAAGTCCAAACTAAAACTAAAAAGTAAAATATTAAATCGTACATCTCGATATAAATCAAAATTAATCAATGTTGAAGTAACTATAGTTTCTTTATATAATTTCAAATTCATCAAATTTAATATAAATATCAAATATCGAACGAAAAATAAAATAGATAAACTTAAGTTACCATTAAAAAGTAAATCACCGACTTGAAAAAGTTGAATGCCAAAGTGGGAAATCATTAAGAAACTGTTCTTTTTCATTAATTTAATTATTTAAAACCTCATTAGCTGGTTAATTTAGAACCAAGGGGATCAAATTTACAAGATTTAATATTATTTTATGAAAAAGAAATCGAATAAATATACTTAAATTAAAAAATAGAAAAATAATGAAAGTTCACATTGATAATTATTCTAAAATTTCACATATATGAGAGAATATATTCCTACAATTTGTTGATGAAAGAATACCAACTTCCTATACGTACACAAAGGTTGTCCCAAATTAAAGTTTTCCCAATATAAATAATAAATAAATAGGAAATTAAAATGTTTCAAAATTAAATTTAAGGAATAATAATACTTTTCGATTTCAAGTTATTGTAATATATGACTAAACATATTTACTTATACTATATGACTTTCAGCATGTAGTATATTTCGTGTATTGAACTATTCTCAATAAGAAATGGGGGAAAACATTATCGAAAAAAGGAAAAAAGATTTAAATATGTCGTCGAACTTTCAGAAAAAGATTCATTTATGCAATCAGTTAAAAGTTTGACTCATTTATGTCATAACCGTTAAAGAAAAGGCTCATTCATATCATTATTTTTAAATAATGATTTTGCAAAATCATTTTTGACATGTGACCAATTATAATTCGGTCACGTCATCAATTTTTTAAATTAAAAAAATGATAATTATGAAAAAAAATTGAATTATTTTTTCTTGACTTTTTTAGTTACATAAATTAATGATGTGGTCAATTATAATTCGGTCACGTCATCAATTTTTTTAATTATGAAAAGAATTGAATTAATTTTTTTTTGACTTTTTTAATTTAATAAATTGATGACGTGGTCAATTATAATTTGACCACGTAATGAATTTTTTTAATAAAAAAATCATAATTATGAAAAGAAATTGAATTATTATTTTTTTATTTAGAAATTGATGCCGTAACCGATTTATAATTGACCACGTGTAAAAAAAAATCGTTAAAAATAGTGGCATGAATGAGCCTTTTCTTTTACGGTAATAACATAAATGAGCCAAACTTTTAACTGATGGCATAAATGAGACTTTTCTAAAAATTCAATGACATAATCAATAGCTCTCGTTTTGGTTAAATACATTTTAATATTTAATTAATTAATATGAAAAACTATAAATATTTCATATTTCAAGGTAATATATATAAATTAATATTACAACGATCTAAATATATAATTGCTAATAACCTAGGAGCCATAAATAGAATCACCCCCCACCCCCCTAAAAAACTATATTTACATTATTTTGTTTATTAAATAATTTTAACACTTGCATTAACTTCAAATCTTTTTTAAACTAGTTTCGCCACTTAATAACTCCTCTATTATGTTAAATTTATAATGTTACTCCGTATTTGACGATAGTAAAATAATTCCCAAAACAATTCATACACATCCAATTAATCGAAGGCTAAATATATTTATCTAAATATTTGAAGGAGTAAACAAGAATTTAGTAGTATTTAAGGGACCAAAAGTGCAATTATTATTTAAAAAATTATCAAATAATTATGACATGTGGTTAATTTCAAAACTTTTTTAAAATTATTAATATCTCAAATATTTGATTACCTATTCAAGAAGAAAACTTTAAGCTAACCAAAAGCAAGGAATCTATAGACAAAAGAAAGGCATAAAATAAAATAAGAAATATCTAAATTGAAAGAAAACAACCTTAAGCATCTCAAAAATAAGTTTCTTAACAAAATTCTTATATATATAATAACACAATTGATTCAATCTATTATACACTAACAACTCAAAAAAAAAAAAAAAACAAAGAACAAAGTTTATAACAAGAAATTACAAATTTCATATATTAGCAACCAAAAAAAAAATGGATTCAAAGGGAGCTGCATCAAATCAAACTTATGAAGATTTTGTGCCAACTACAGAGTTGGTGCAAGAACAAGACTCTGATATTCTTCTCATTCATCTCACAGGTGATCAATCTTCTTTTTACTGTTTTTTTTTCGATCGAGGGAATGAGTTGTCGTCTCCTTATATTGTGTTTCGAGTGATTTTTTGTTAGCTTTTGAGGTTGTGTCAGTCTCGAAGTTTATTCCTTATAGTATCATGTTGTCATAACTCATAAGCTATGACGTTGCTTGGACTCTCCAAAATTGTTTGTTGTATGTGGTGCTTTTTGGAGGATCCGACACACACCTGACGGACTTTATGTCCTTAGAACAATGTGATTATTTTCATGGGAACTCCATAAATATATCAGATGACATAATAGGATGTAAATGTCACATTTGTTGCTTGGACCATCCAAAAGTTTTGCTGTATCTGTGTTAGATTCTCTAAAAACGGACAGATTTTTGAAGAGTTCGAGCAACATAGCATATCGACAGTGCAGGACCTACCTTGGCTCGACACTCCTTTGTCGGAAAATTACGTTGTATATAGTGATTAAATTTTAGTTTTATAAATATAAATACATAAATTGACATCTCTTAAAACAAGTTAAAGGGCTTAGTCTATTTGTTAGGGGTTTGCAAACACTATATGAGGTCGTGTGTGCCTATTTTTTTTACTGTACTCCTTAATGAAAATCCTGCGTCCGCCAGTGCATATCGATGTAGCTTATATTATGGTCTTTTTTCACATTTATTGTCATGTTGAAATTCTGCAGGTTTCAAAAAGGAACAAGTGAGGGTTCAACTGACTAAAACAGGAATTCTGAAGATCAGTGGACAAAGGCCAGTTGCTGAGAGCAAATGGCTTAGATTTCAAAAGGATTTTCCTGTTTCACAAAATTGCGACAAGACGAAAATCAGTGCAAAGTTTGAAAATGGCATTCTTCATGTCAAACAACCAAAACTGATTACTTCATCAGAGAACAAAGGTCAAGAACTGCCAACATCTGATGCTCAACAACAACAAAAACCAGCAGACGAGCCACAATCAACGCCTCAGAGGAAAGACGAACAACAAACAAAAGACGAAAAAACACCAACACCAACAGAAGAATTGCCTAAACATCAGGATACTAATGCTGACAAGCCTGAAATGGAAGAACCAAACACAAAAGAAGCTAATGATCTCGCGGAAAAAACACCTGCTGAAAGGACAGGTGCAAGTAGCACTGTGGAAGATGGAAATAAACCGAGTTATGCGTGTAAACTTGATAAAGATGCATATACTGGAACTGCAACTGTTCTAGCTGAGAAGCTGAAGATGCCAAGGAAATTGATGAACATGACTCTGATTGCTCTTTTGGTTCTTGGAATTGGCCTATATATCAGCAATAAGATGAAATCCAACAATTAAATAGCTGAAGAATGACGTTTTTCGTCTAATAACCAAAACTAAGTTGGGATATTTGGCATTTCTCCCAGTTCATGTGAGTGAGTATGAAGAAAACTCACTGACTACTACTCTTCCTTTTTCTCATTGCATTGCTGAATTGTATACATGAAACATTCGTTTCAAAAATTTATATCGAATAAAAATATGACATGAGTTATACTAAGGTTTTCTGATATATGTCTGATGTGTGTTTATTATTAACAAGAAGAGCAAATAGTCAAAAAGACACCTGAACTATCAATTTTTCACACCCCCAACTATCACTTGTTCTCTTTTCCTATCGGAACTATCACCATCGTTCAAGTAAGAAAAGGGAACAACTGATAGTTGGGGTGTGAAACTCGCGAAGAAATGATAGATCAGGTGTGCTTTTATCCATTATCTCGTGCAAGAAAGCAAAAAAAAAAACTGAATTAAGATCAAGCACAAATACTATATTAAAGGGAAAATAAGATAAATAAGCAGAAATACATCTGTAATTGACGACTAACCATCACGCCAAGGTAGAGGCTAAACAGGACATTCCTCAGGCATAACATTCCATAGAATATGAAATTGTCTGTCAACATTTTGTTTGGAACATAATACTTAAAAATAACACATCATTTTGGATGTGGGACATTCTAGATTGAATCAAATGTGTAATACCTATTGAGGATGTGAAGGAGGGGGCTTCCTGATATGTGTTGCTTGTTCAAAACCATATGCAATTTCAATGAGTGTTGGCTCAGAGCCCTTTAGTCCTCCAAATGAAATTCCGAACGGAGTTCCAGTTTTATCATAACCAGCTGGTACATTGATCCCTGGATAACCTCCTATCGCGAGAAGATCAGCAATGTCAGCACCAGGTGACATCAACGCGTCTAACTTATTTTCTTTCATCATCTTCTCAAATCCGTATTTGCATGCTATAGTTATGTTGCTCAATGCCTCCCTTTCCAATTTCCCTATTCCATTTGTCTTCTCAGCTTCCAACATTATATCTTGACCATATTCTTTGAGTTTTTCCTACAATGATATACAAAAAGAACCAAACGCTTAAACTAAAAATAGCCGGCAGATGTATAATATATAGTATGGTATGTTAATAACAGTGTATAATCTATGTATAACGAAAAAGAACAGTCTCACTATGTCTGTAAAGATCCCTAATATGATCAAAATGGTTATAGTGATTCGTATAACTGATCTCAACTTTGTCTAGTATCAAGGTGCAGTTAATTGATCGGTTAATTGTTACCGGAGGTGAAATCTTGTTGAAGGCTATAACGTCTGCCAAGGATCGAACTTGAGTGTGGACTAAATGTTTAAGATATGCATTTAGGTCCATCTTGAATTCAGCAGAAAGTGCTGTGAATTGAGCAACAACAATAGCATTGTTGACCAAGTCGGTGTAAGGTATTACCAGGTTGTCAACTAAGACTGCTCCTTTTTTCCTACAAATTGTTTTATCCCAGAACAGAAGTTTGTCTCTTTTAGTAAATCAAGTAAAACTGAACTATACAAAGGCATAATACATCAGTAGACACGTTAACTTAGCCTCAACTGGTAACTAAATATTTCTAACTTAGAGGATGCACATCTAGACACATCAACTCGTCGATCCATTGTGTCGTTGGACACTCCCAACTTACAAAGTGATACTCTAGACACCTCAAATATTAATGTGCCATGTCAGCATCGGGTGTCCACGAGACACAGTGGGGACGAGTTGAAGTGTCTAGATGTGCACTCCCAGAATTTGAGTGTTTACTTGTCAGTTGAGACCAATTTTGAGTGACTATCTGTGTATTATGACATACAGAAATGCAGGTTAAAAACCGAAAAGGTTACCTTAAGGTGTTAAAATGTTGTTGGTAAGTTTTGATATCATTAGAACCAAAAAAGTAGTTTGAAATTCCCAGTCTTTTATCTCTGAGCCCATCAGCCTTAAGAAATTGTCGGTATCCACCATGTGGGATGTAAGTGGAAGCCTTCTTAGTTGCTGGGAAATCATCTCGATCAAAGCCAACGATGACATCAAGAACCTCAACAGCATCAGTTACTGTCCTGCAGATTGGCCTGTTCTATGCCAAATAATTTTTTAAGAAAATGTGTGAACATTGTCTATGTTCATGTTTGTAATTATCACATTCTTTTCATTTTTACATCTCTAATGTACTCCAACCGTTCTAGTTCATATGACCTATGTTCTATTAGTCCGTTCTAAGAAGAATGACTCAATTCTATATTTGGAATTCTACTTCAAATTTCTTGTTAATAAGAAGTTTCTATAGCCACAAAAATGTTAATAACATGTTTTAAGACTGCAAGTTTCAAAAGCCAACAGAAAAGTCGAATCTTCGAATGAATGTTACATATTCTGTCAAGAGGAAAAAACTTATAATATTGTAGTCGTTCATGGTTATTTTGGCTGATTGATCTACCGATATGTTAGTTTCAATGACTCTCGTTCGTTACACTTCTTCCTTGCTGCTTGGCATATAGTAGGTATCTGGTTTACCGCTTTTAGGTATTAGCACTATGCTTTTCAATCTAAATAGTTTCAATTTCAGCCAATCTATAGTTGATAGTACGTGTCGAGTCAAACTATGTCACGTAAATTAGGACAGGAGTACTACTAGGGAGAAAAAAACATTCAAAAGATTTAGTTTTTACATACCCTACAGTGTCTTGTCTATGTGAAATTGGGATAACACCTGCCCTGCTAGTGAGGCCAACAGTTGGTTTGATTCCAACAACAGAATTAGCACTTGACGGAAATAGAATGGAGCCTGCAGTTTCTGTCCCCAATGCTACTGCTGCCATGTTTGCTGCTACTGATGTTGCAGAACCAGTGCTTGATCCTGATGGATCAGCACTTGCTACATAAGGATCCTGTAAGAACATGAGTAAAAACAACAACTCGCTTTTTAGTCTACAACAACATATCTAGTGTTATTCCATAATTGGATCTACGGAGTGTAGAGTGTACGTAGACCTTACGTCTACCTCATAAAGATTGAGAGGTTGTTTTCGATAGACCCCCGGCTCAAATAAAAACATCTCAAAATAGTTTGTGAAAAGAAAATATATAATTGAAAACAGTAACAACAACGAAATATAGTCAAGGAACTAGTCTGATAACAGATTAAAGTACATTTTGGTAATGTTTAAGACCATAAGATTACATTTTGGTACATTCTACAAGATTCAAAAGTCTTCTTTACTTTGTTAAACTACGTGCCAAGTGAAAACTAGACAAACAAAATTGAAACGGAGGAAGTAATAAATATTGTAACTAACTGACAATCACATGTTAAAAATTCACTAGTGGTAGAATAATCTTTATACCGTCAGTGTATATAACTTTATATTTTACCAATGACTCACCAGAGCTTGTCCAAGTCTACCATTCCAACCATTAGGCAAGTTTGTAGATCTAAAAGCAGCCCATTCAGTCATAGTTGCCTTGCCAAGTATGATAGCACCAACATTCCTCAACTTCTTAACCACACCAGCATCTTGTGGCACAATCGATCCGATAAGTGCTAATGATCCTGCTGTTGTGTTAAGCTTATCTTTTGTTGCAATGTTGTCCTTCACAAGAACTGGGATACCATGTAGCCTAGATAGTGATTTAGACGAGTTTGATTTTCGTTCTTGATCAGCTTTATCTGCAAGAAAGAGTGCATCTGGATTCACTTCAATGATCCCTTTTAGAATTGGATTGGATCTTTGGATTTCACTTAGATAGAACTCAACAAGTTGTCTTGATGTAAGTTTGTTTTGCTTTAAAGCTATATGAATGTGATCAATAGTTGTTTCTTTAAATAAGAATGCTTTTGCCTCAGTTTTGTTATTAAAGTTTGATAATAAAATCAGAGAAATGAAGAGAATAGCAAGAACAGACATTTTTTTTTGTTTGTTAAAGTGATTGAAGATAATTTTCTTAGTCTGTCTAGCTGATTTTATATTTATATTAGGGACATAAAAGTGGATAAGGGATAAGAGTCTTGAAGCAACGGTAATGTTGTCTCCGTGTGATAGCACGGAGCCAGGTACAACCAAGAGGTCCGTCTGAACCGTTTTCTGACGAAAGTTTACACAAGTATTTTCAATGTATATGTAACAGATATTGAATCTTATGTGGCTTCTTTGTGTGTTTACGTCTTCATATTTGACTCCCTTTTAGTAAAAATTCTGGCTCTACCACTTTATATGACCTATAGATTACATCTGTGAGCTGCATGGAATTAGTCGGTAATGATTGTGTGAGACACGGAGTATTAGTTAACTATTAGTTTACTAGATTGGTCAAATGTCTATTTTCAAGATTAATGAACTACTCAAGAGTATAATAGGAAGAATATTGTAATTTATACATTGATTTATGAAATTAACAAGTATAATAAATCGACTATATTTTATAGTAAAAATAACAATATATAAAAGAAACGGCGAATTATTTTTTTTGTAATGAGCTACAAAAATTAAAAAGATGAGAGAATAATCAACAACCACAACTTTCCTAAATGCCTTTTTGGGTCCACAAATCACTATGAAACTTTATTCTATAATAATCTTTTAGGACAAGAATGTGTTGCACGTGAAAAATAATTAAAAAATATATACTACATAAAAAATAATTTTAAAACATATATTATATTTCTTGGTACACATAATAATCATTAAAGAAAAAGACTGCGAAAAAAAGAAAAAGTTAGCTTATATCTTAAAATAAGTCATTTAAGATAACTGTGTGTTTTCCTTTTTTTTAAAACCATTTTTAACACCCTCCCTTTATTTTTATTCCGTTCACTATAAAAAAAATTTATATATATATTTCACATAAATATATATATTTGATTTCGAAAATTTAAAAATTTTATGCTCCAAATTCACGATGGAGTAACTGTTGATTCTCGAAATTCAAATTATATCATGTAAATGTAGTATGATGTGGTTGTTTTTAAGATTATCTTGCTTAAATTTCTTTTGAGCTGAGGTTCTACCTGAAACAACCTTTCTGCATTACATTACATAAGGTTAAACTTCACGTATATCCGACTCTATCCAGACCGCACTTATTGGATTAAATTGTTGTTGTTGTTTACATTGTATGATAGGATATGAAATGATCTTAAATAAAGTGAGATTTATATCGCTGACTTCAAATTGTTTTGGACTTTATTGTT